CCATCACTAGGTTCCACAATGTAGTGGCTTCTGTCTTTCAGCAGACTCTGTCCCTCGCTGGCTTTGATAAAGCAGGCTGCCATGTAGGAGAGGTCTTTGTGGTCAGGGACTGAGGGTGGCCTCAGGCCAACACTCAGCAAAGCCCTGAAGGAAGCAAGGGATTTGAGGAAGTCCTTCGGTCCAACAAGCCGTCAGAAATAATTCTAACAACAAACAGTTGAGCTTAGAAGCATATCCTTTGGGGTGCTTGGGTGGCTCAGTCGGTTAAGCGTCTGCCTTTGGCTCAGGTCATGATCTCAGGGTCCTCAGATCGAGCCCCACATTGGACTCCTTGCTCCGCGGGGAGCCTGCTTCTCCCTCTACCCCTGATTGTGCTCTCTATCTCACTATCTCTCTCTGTGTGTCAAATAAATTTAAATAAAAAAAAAAAGAAGCAGATCCTTCCTCGGTTGAGCCTTCAGATGAGACTCTGGCCAACTCCCTGATTTCAGTTTGATGAGCAACCCTGGAGTAGGAACTGGCTCAGCTGTCCCTGAACTCCTGTCTCACAAAAACTGTCAAATAATCAATGTGTGCTTTACATTGGCAATTTGTTATATAGCAAGTGGTAACTAATACAGTAGATTTTACCTGCCATTTTTCTTTCCATAACATAAATATTCACTTTGGGAAATGTTTCCATTGCTATTTCTAAGACGGTAGACTGACATACAATTATACCCTGTACTGTGTTGAAATCAGTCATCTCTTTAGAGAGTTATCTGTGAACTAACAGATCACATAAGGGCAAACATTAAGAAGCTTCTGTGGTCTAAAATGTGGCTCTAGTTGTGTCATTCCTCTGCTTAAAGACCTTCTGGAACACTCCAGGAAATACAAACTCCCATAATGTGTCCCCAGACTACCTTCCTAGGCTTTCTCCTTGTCACCCTTCCCACACTGTGGCCTGGCCCTTCCCATGTCTGTCTTCTCTCCTCCTGCCCTTCATAGTGCCCCCCTCGCTCTACCACCTCATGTCTGCCTGTGGAAGGCCCGTCTCTTCCATGGGGCTTTTCCAAGATCACACGCCTGCCCCTATGCCCGGAGCCCTATCTCTTCACTCTATCCCCCCATGCCACTTTTGGCCTTGCTTCAGGTACCTCTCATGTGCTGACCTTCATCCAGCTTTGCTTTCAATCCCTTCTCTGATTCTGCCTTCTCTGATCTCCTATGTGAGACTAAAATCCCCACGAGGGCAGAGACTGACCATCACTCTGTGTGGCCCTTCCCACATCTAGTGTATTGCCTTGGGCATGGAGCGGAGGTGGTCTTCTGATGCTTGTGAGGTTGAATGTGACGAAAGGTGGATTGGGATGTGGTGCAGCCTTCCCAAGAGGGGGTTCATAGAAGTGCTGCTGAGGGCAATGTCCACAATAGCCAAACTGTGGAAAGAGCCAAGATGTCCATCGACAGATGAATGGATAAAGAAGATGTGGTATATATACACAATGGAATAATATGCAGCCATCAAAAGGAATGAGATCTTGCCATTTGCAATGACGTGGATGGAACTGGAGGGTGTTATGCTGAGTGAAATAAGTCAATCAGAGAAAGACATGGATCATATGACCTCACTGATATGAGGAATTCTTAATCTCAGGAACAAACTGAGGGTTGCTGGAGTGGTCGGGGGTGGGAGGGATGGGGTGGCTGGGTGATGGACATTGGGGAAGATATGTGCTACGGTGAGCGCTGTGAATTGTGTAAGACTGTTGAATCACAGATCTGTACTTCTGAAACAAATAATGCAACATATTTTAAGAAAAAAGAAAAAGAAGAAGATAGCAGGAGAGGAAGAATGAAGGGGAGTAAGTCAGAGGGGGAGACGAACCAGGAGAGATGATGGACTCTGAAAAACAAACTGAGGTTTCTGGAGGGGAGGAGGGTGGGGGGATGGGTTAGCCTGGTGATGGGTATTAAAGAGGGCACGTTCTGCGTGGAGCACTGGGTGTTATGCACAAACAATGAATCATGGAACACTGCACCAAAACAAATTATGTAATATATGGTGATTAACATAACAATAAAAAATAAAAAAAAAAAGAAGTGCTGCTGAGGAAGGACTCTATGGCTAGACAAGCTTGGGAGACTAGGTGTGCCTGTCCCCTCATGAAGAGTCCCAGTGGACATGAGATGGTTAAAGTCTCCTGTAGTAAAGAAATGGATGCTCCCGCTTTCTGTAATGCTGTGCTTTGGGCAGGAGAATTGGAAGCAGCCTGGTCATGCATCTATAGGATCCTTGCCCGTTTCAAGCTCACCTCATAGTGATGGCAGCATGTTTGGTTTTCCCTTGGTAAGGCTGTGAGTTTACCATGCTAAATAGTCTATATCTGAGCCCCTTATTTAGTCTCAGGTGATTCCAGATGCTCAACTCCCCCAAATACACAAATCCCACTGTTAGGAACTAAGCCACCTATACTGGGTGAAGAACCATGTTTATAACCAGTTTGGCACCACCTTATCATTATGGTTCCTTCTGCTTAAAGTGGCAGAGACTGTATTTAAAGATTTCGGGTGTTAGAGACTGCTTTTTTTCACCAACCTTTGCCGGAGCCAATCCTGGTTATTGGATGTGTAATAAGCATTTCCCGTGTGTCAGGCACTGTGCTAGGTGCTTAGGGTACACACCTCGCTAACAGATTGCTCCTGCCCGAAAGGATGTGTAGTTTGACTCAGAACCTAGATTTTCGTAGTACAGTTCTCTGAGTGCCGAAACCCTGTTATGTGCAGCACACGGGCCAGGGAGCAGGGACGCTCGGCTGGAGGTGCAGGGAAGTCTAGCAGGAGAGCTGACAGGTTCTGAAAGGTCACCCCGGGAATAGAGGTGGAAAAACAGAAAGTGCAATTCAACAGACTTGTTGTTTGCATTCTCCCTCTCTGCCAGGAGCTCTCTGCTGTGTCCTGAGGGTTCCGAGATGAATGAGGCACACTCCCTTCCTTCCAGGACCTCCGCTGAGCGCGGTGGGGGCAGAGGTCAGGTGAGGCCCCCAGGGCCTGATTCGGGGGGACCGGGCGAACCCAAGGACTGTAAGGCCAATGGCCAGCACATGCCATACCTTCCGTTCTCACTGAACAATCTCTTCTTGCCTCTAATCTTTCGTTGCTGCTGGTGGAGTGTTTTTTTAAAGAGCGAACATCATTCCTCTGAGCATCTTAAGCCCGTAGACCTCAGACCCGATCGCTGTGAACTTCAGATTCCCATCGGGTCCCTGGTTATCTCTCGCCTGCCTCGAACACTGTTCCTCCCTTCCTGTCTCCTCGTGCTTCACCTCCATGAGGGGGCCGCTGGGAGGGAGGAAGAAGAGGAGGGCTTGCCCCCTTCTGTGGTCTTGCTGACTCCTGGATCCATCGTGGAGGGCCTCTGGTAGGGCGGTTGCAGTAGCGGCTACGGCTGAAATCTCCGTCCGTGGCCACAGCCAGCACACCTGGCCGTAGGTTTGCCTCCGCTGCTCATCGACTGTGTGGCCGTGGGTGCATTTCCTAGAGCTCTGTGTGCGGTTGCCTCCCCTGTAAAATGAGGTCAAAAGATGTTCTTCCACAGGGCTGTGTGTGGATTAGTCCTTCTGTGCCGAGCATACTGTCTTCAGAAAGGCTCCATTAGGTGCTTCATAAATGCGAATCCCCTCCCTCTTTTCCTTTAAATCAGGGAGGTCATTCCAGCTTTGTTGGGATACAGTTGTCACCTGGCCTCGTGGGGGCTTGGCGTGTGCAGAGTGGCCGTGTGTTTCGCGTGTCCCTGGCAATGTGGCTCCGTGCTGGGGTTAGTCAACCCCTTCATCATCTCATACTTACAGTTTTGTGTATGTGTGCGCTTAACTTTATTTGCTAATTTTTCTTAAACACATTCTAATTTTATGGTAAGAAAACAATTTAATTGAAGAAAACAGGGAAGTCACGCTTGTTCTGAGTATATAAGAAGAACATTTAATTTTCATTTCAGGAACTCGGTCATCAGGTTGAATTTTTCTTTCTTTCCTTTTTTTTAAAAGATTTTATTTTAGTTGACAGAGAGGGAGAGCACAAGTAGGCAGAGCGGTAGGCAGAGGGAGAAGCAGGCTCCCCGCGGAGCAAGGAGCCCGATACGGGGCTCGATCCCAGGACGCTGGGATCATGACCTGAGCTGAAGGCAGACGCTTAACTGACTGAGCCACCCAGGTGCTCCCAGGTTGGGTTTTTCTACGAGGACCCCGGGCACAAGTTGGTGGCCTCCTTCTTGTGGCAAGTGCAAGTGTTATACTTAGTAGCCTTGTCTGTCTGAGAAAATTTGGTCATTGTATTTGTTCCCTAAAACGGATGATCTGGACATTTTTGTTCCATTCTAGGAGAATACCACCATCTCATTTTTCTCCAGCTTACCTTGAGAAAGACAAGGGAGTTGGGAGTTTATATTGGCAGGATTGAGAGAGAACATAAAAATGGGCGGAACACATATTCAGTGATGGATGGGGATGTGAACATTTTTGGCTTAAAAATCAGTTTTCCCTTGCTCTTGTACTCAGGCCAAGGAAGTGCCAATTACTTTGGGTCTTTCCTGGAGTAATTAATTCACCTGGAATGTCTTCCTCTCCTCCCTTCCTGTCATGCCGTCTCTGTAACTTGTTTCCCTTTATTCAAAATACCTTTACTGAGGGCTGTATGCTGTCTTAGGGACAGAGCTCCCGGATGAAGAGGGCACTGGGCAGTGGGGGGACAGGCATGTGCACACTCACACCCTCCACACTTGGGTGCATCTGTCCTGGCAGCTCTCGGTAAGGGGAGAAGGCAAGGGCCCCGGGACCCGAAGGTCGGCAGGGAATCACTCAGAGAAGTGCAGTGAGTGGGTGCAGGCCCCACAGGACTGAGAAAGGAATCAGCAGAGCCAGAATGAGTGATGGCATTGGGGCACGCATGTGGGTGGCCTTCCAAGAAACACAGGTCAGTAGGGGTGACGTGCGGAGGAGTGGGGAGCAGTGGGGAGAAACCCACTGGTGCAAATGGCAGTAGGCAAGGCCCTCTTTCTTACACATTTCTGCACATCTGACCTCTTTCTGGGCCAATCTGGCTACAGATAACGAGCTGCTTTCACTCCATTGAGAGAAGCATCCTGTGGGTCATGCTGTTCTGGAAAGGGGGATACGAACCAAACCAGGATGTGGTCACTGCTCTGGAGTTTGCAGCCCCTGTGCTGGGCTTCCTCATCAGGGCTGTGCATCAGAATCACCCCAGAGCTTTAGAACATACACCTTGCACGATTCTGATTCAGCAGATGGGGTGGGCTTGGGCTGCCATTTCCCCACCCGAGAACCTGAATCTAATGAAATGATGAGCAGGAGAGGAGGTCAGTGCCCCTGTTTTCCAGGCACTAGGCTAAGTGCCTCATATTATAGGGGATAAAATACATAAATGGAGGTTTACGTGTCCTGAGCAGGCTCAGCTCAGCACACAACAGTCAATGAGGCCCATTGCCTCTCAACTTGACATTCAGTGGTGTCACAATGGTTACTCTGAGGTCAGGTATGCTGGGGATTTTTACACCAGGGAAATTGGCAAATGCTCAAAAATCAGGGCATTTTCCTCTCTAGAAAGCCAGTTGGTAAATATTTCCTGAAACACCACAGTGTGAGTACATGTATATATATGGTCTCGTTGAACTTCATCTCCATAATAAGCCCAGATTCTATGCATGGAATAACACTTTGCTGCTTTCTAACCACTTTGAAATGTGTTACCTTACTGTCACAATAACCCATGAGAATAAGTTAGGGTGGTGTTGCTATCTTCATTTTAAAGAAACACTGGCTCAGAGAAGTCACACAGTGAGGAGGACAGACCCGACCTGAACCCCAGCTCTGACTCCCAGCTGCACTCTTGCTCTTCCAGCAGCACTGCCCCAGTGGTCAGATTTCTGGCTCTGAGTCAGTGTCTTGATCACAAGGGCTGGAGGGACCAGACCTGACCCCGTTCTCAGATATCTGATAACAGGAAGTTTCCCCAACACTGGCAGGTAGAGCTTTAATAAATGACCTTCCTGCTCTGCTTATTTTGGTGCATTGAGTATTCGTATGCTAAGTTGGGGGCCTGACGAGGCAGGCTTATGGGGACCTGCAATCCAGGGGTGTTATATTTTGAGGGAGATGTGATGTGGTGCCCAGGGAAATGTGCTTTTGGCTGGCACAGAAAGAAGGGAATCCAGAACTTTTTAAAACCCACCCCATTAAGGTCTTGGCCAAGGCCATGGGAATTTCCAAATATTTCACCGGTTCTAATTGAGGTAGCAATGAGTTGGAGGCTAGTATGAGGCTTGGGGATTTATGTCTGCATGGAAAATTCCCAGTACGCAGGGAGCTAATTCTAAAATGGTGAAAATAGCAGCAAACTCAACCAGTGCCAACAGATATCACCTGCTGGGGACCGAGTGTGTCCTGAGGAGGAAAGGAAAGAGACTCCTCATTCCCAGGGTGACCCTCTCCACCCTTCTTATTTTGTCAGGACCTACCTGCTGTCTGCTGGGATAAACAACTGAGTGAAAAATGGGTCACATCATGGAAAAATCACACTGAGAGACTTTTTTAAGACAGAATTTTCCTTTATGTCTGAGGTTGAGGCGGCTGGGATTGTTCCACTCACGTGACCAAACACCCACACAGATTTCCACACCCAGAGTCCCTTGTGTGTCCGTCATACTCTCTGGCCCTACCTGGGACTTCCGCAGAGGTGTCAGGTGTCACTTCCTCTTTACGTTCTGAAGGATGTCCTGTCTGAGGGATGAGCTTGCAGATGGTGCCAGATGGAAAACCGGGGGGAGTCGTGGTCTGTGTAGCAGTCCATGACATCAGGCCTGCAGAGACTTCTGCATGACGGGCTCAGAGCCTCTGGGCCTCCTGGCAGGAGGTAGATGATTCCTTCCCCCACTGTGCCCCCCACAGCCACCATGCTCCCTGCTACCCCCAGTGCTGGACACAGAGTGCAGACTTGTTTTCTTTGGAATCCATAAACACCTGTGTGCCCCCCGACGTGTCTCAGACAACGTGGGTCAGCCGGACGCCAGGAGTGTTTGTACAGAGTCCCCAGGGTTGAAATTGGACTGGGAACACCAGGACTGAGTGCTCTCAGGTGGGCCCACCCAAGCTTCAGCAGAGAACCCTCCTCAGGAGCTCTGACGTTTCCCTGAGTGACATAGAGCGACTCAGAATTTCAGACTCAGGGCATGAGGGGAGATTGGAGGGGACCGGGATAAATAAAAGAGTCAGCAGGAGGAATTTGCAGGATAAGGCACGTTCACTGGCCAGCATTCTCAAAAACCTGCGGCTGCAGTGTGTGTCCCAGACCAGCAACAACCAGCATCACTTCGGGACGTGTTAGAAATGCAGATGCCTGTGTGGCTCAGTTGTTAAGCGTCTGCCTTCAGCTCAGGTCATGAACCCAGGGTCCTACGATCGAGTCCTGCATCGGGCTCCCTGCTCAGTGGGGAGTCTGCTTCTCCCACCCCCTCTGACCCTCCTCCCTGCTGTGCTCTCTCTCTCTCTCAAATAAATAAAATCTTAAAAAAAAAAAACAAAACAAAATGCAGAGTCGCAGACCCCACCCCAACCTCCTGACTCAGAGTCTGCACAACAAAACCCCGGGGAATTCTGGTGGATTTATAGCTTGAGGGCACAGCTCTGACTGAAGCCAGACAGTCCTCTGCCCACTGACTCAGACTAGGTCCGGGGCACATCCGGGCGCTGGAGTATCTACCATACAGTAACCTAAAGATGTCTTCGATAGAGTCGGCGGGGGGAGATCTCTTTTCCCTTCTCTCTCTCTCTCTTTTGCAGACACACAGACACATACAGACACACACATAAACACACACACGTGCATGTGACATCATAAAGAACCTGGAGTCAGGAGAGATTTGAAGTTTCACGCCTGTCTTTGTCACTTAATAACTTAATACTCGTGGGACCTCAGCCAAGTCTCTGATGTCTCTGAACACATTTCCGTATCTCTGAGAAGGAGACAATCGATGACTGCACTGAGCTGGGCACTCACAGGGAGCAAGCAGTAAACATTTTACGTATCTGACTCATGGAATCCTGTGGGCAGCCCCTTGCCCGCATTTGAGCAGTGTGGCCCTGGAGGCACTCCCCGGCGGGCTGTGGACCACACAGCTTGTGGGTGATCGCACAGCAGAGCAGGGCCTGGCTCTGGAGCCCACACTACATCCATACCCCATGCTGGGGACCCTGCCAAGTGACCCGTAGACTGGCAGGGGGCACGCGGAAGGATGGATGTGAGCCACCCAGGCCAGCACCTGAGCCCTCAGGAAGTGGTGACTGTCAGTACTATCCATGCGCAGGTGAAAGTTGAAGATGTAGGCCTTAACTGGGTATCAGTAGTCATTTCTCTTTTTTTTTATTATTATTAATTTTATTATGTTATGGTAGTCACCATACATTACATCATTAGTTTTTGATCAATAGTCATTTCTTTAAGATGCTTTTTCTTGTCTGTATTTCCTGAAATCAATGCCTTTCTTTCATCAGGAGAATAAGTAAGAGATTGTCATTTGTAAAATCCCTCTTGACTTGCTTGTATGAGTGGCACGTATGACTTGCTCCTTCCCAGCATGAGGGAGAGAAAGACAGAAACCTTTCAGAGCCGGAGCAACTCCTAGCTGTAGAAGCACAGAAAACACTTAACCCCAACTCGGAAAAAGCAGCCCACCTCCACCTCTTTTTCCATAAGTCACAACAAATGACCCGCAAGAAGGGCAGAGCACGCCACTTGGAGCAGCCCCTTCAGTCTGCATTTCGCTATCTTCCCACACACCAGGGACCAGAACCTCTGGGGAGGGGGTGTCCCTGTGTCGCCTTAGTTCTACGGCATCCAGAATGAATATCCTCAACAATAAACCTTTCAGTGCATAAAGTAAGGGCATGGAGGAATGCATGTGTTAGAGACTCAGGGTTAATGACTTCCTAAGTGTGGAAAATTTTCCCCCAAAGCGTTTCCAAATATAGAAAACTCAACATAATAAATGATGAGGGCTCCCAGATCTTGGCGGCAACAGTAGCAAGGGGCAGAGTGAGGAAGGAGAAGGAGTTCCCAATTCCCAGGGCCAGCCATCCCACCCTGACTTCTGGCCGACTTTCCTACCAACGATTTCATAATTGCACCCACTTAGGAGCTCTTTAGATACATAATCTAAGTGGAAATCCAATGTATTATTATTTTTTTTAAGTCATTGACAAAGACCCTAAGATAGATTGCATTTCTCCCAGCCCTTCTGTACCAAGAGTCTTGGGGAGGTTGAGAATGTCACTGGTCACATTGTTCTTTTCTCCTGTGTCCCCCTAAAAGCTTTGTTGGGGACCTTTGTTAATGGTTGTCAAATACTCACATGCCTCAGGCATTTTTAGCCTACCAGGAGCTTGTTGGACCGAACAAACAAACTGAAACCACGCCTGATTCTCTGTGGACTACATTTACCAGGATTAGTTCCTATAGTTATCAGGTTGTGGCCTAAGCCAAAGGCTACTCTCAATGCTCCCGGCTGAGCCATCTTTTGCTCCTTGACAACTGTGAGCCTCCTCAACCCCATGGGTGGAGAAAACCGGTAGAGGCGGAGGAGATGGGAGGACTGTGGAAACCTGAATCTCACTAATGCTCCCCAAACTTTCCTTCCCTGAAGCAAGGAAGGGCCCAGTCTTAGCACAGAAAGGATACTCAGAGATGTATCAAAAATGCTCAACCGAAGGAAATTATGAATTAATGTGTCTGGGATCACAGCTGCCCAAACAGGTCTCTTCCAACTCTGGCTAGTTCCCAAAGACTGAGGGACTCATCAGAGGCTCTGAGTATACTTCCTCAAAAAACAAAAAGGTTCTGGAGGAGGTCTGGGCCTTAGATGGGCCTCCAGAAGAATGGCAGCATTTTCAGTCCTAGCTTGAGCCCTTGTCATAGCATGGGAGACATGCGAACTCTATAGGGTGTGGGTGAGTGGCCGTGATGCCCATTTTATGAACAAGGTGGTACCCATCTTCTGACAGATTATCAGGGAGCCCTGGGCTACATGTTTTGACTTAGAGAGTCCTAAGAGAGGTCATCAAGTTATTTTAAACTCAAACTTGATACTTGGATGTATTAATGGTCTGGCATACAGGGGTTGAGAAATAAGTCCTTACTCCCCTTGCCGCTGCTCAAGGCCTTACCCACATATCATTTTGAGGTTAGGGCTCTACATTCTGAGAAAGATTAAAGTATCCAAAGAGATCCCAAGAAGAAGGAAAAGTAAAAACCAGTATGAAAAGAAAGCATGGAGTTAGGTCTTATGTAGAATGTTTAAATGTGTTGGGAAGAAAGCCACAGGACAATGAAATCTCTGTATTTAAGGAAAAGAGGTTGCTGATACAAACAGTGCTGATCTGTTTCCTACTGTTAGCTAATTAAATGATTTTATTGCCAGTTTCCCATGAGGTTCCATCTTGGGCAGTGCAGGCATTGAATTAGAATATCTTCTACAGGGGCGCCTGGGTGGCTCAGTTGTTAAGCATCTGCCTTCGGCTCAGGTCATGATCCCAGGGTCCTGGGATTGAGCCCCATGTCTGGCTCCCTGCTCAGCGGGAAGCCTGCTTCTCCCTCTCCCACTCCCCCTGCTTGTGTTCCCTCTCTCGCTGTTTCTCTCTCTCTCTCTCTGTCAAAAAATAAATAAAATCTTAAAAAAAAAAAATAGAATGTCTTCCATGGGAAGACCCTGAGGATTCAGTTCTGGGGAGGGAACATGAGGAACAGACTCACCCCATGGGCCATGCAAACAAGGGTTTGCCAGGGTTCAGTGGTCCTTCCTGATCCTACCTGGTGACCTGAGATGATGGAGGATTCTAGTGAGGAAGCTTTTGAAAAACATGGTGGCCAACAGAAAAATAAAGAAATATTCAATCTTAAGGTTAATTAACTATTGAATAACGCCTATGAAAGAAAGAGTGGGCCTTCTTTTCTTGGGGAGTCTTAAGAATGATAGCCACCTTCCTCATTTTAAGGATCCTCTTGCCTGGAGTCAGAGGTCTATACCAGATATTCTCTCAAAGCTCCACCTATTTTGATGAATCTATGATGTATTAGAACTCTGATGATGGAAATCCACCCCTGGCTAGCCTGAGTAAAGGAGCAGATGTAGGGCTCACATAACCAGTCTCCAGTGGGGCAAGGCTGTGGTCGGTCTGAGGGTCCTGCTGCCAGAGGGTGGTATACCACCTGCACACTTCCTTCTCTCCCTTTCTCTGTGTGTTGGCTTTGGATTTTTGTTTTTTATTTTTCACACAGCAGAACACATAACCCCTGAGAGGCCTGGCTTTAGTAAAGGGAGTAAAGAGGAGTTGCCTCTCTTTCCTTGGTTCCAGGCCAAAATATTCTGGAGAAGGGCTAGGTCAAGGGCACACCCCCAAAGGCAGGCAGCCCATCCCTCAGTGGTTGGAGTGGAGGGGGGGTCAGATCCCAGGAAGAAGGACAGAGCAGATACCCACAGGTACCCAGCGCCAAATTCTAAGTATGCACGAGCGGGGGGGCGGGGGGGGTGTTGGTCAGGGAGAAAAGAGAACGAGAGAAATAGAACACAGGTCAGAGTAGGGGTGGGAAAGAGTGAGGGGCAGGCTCACTCTGGCATAGATATGCTAATTGAAAGGACATTCAGTTCTACTCTTGAACGAAGATGCCTCCGGCCATACATATTTCTTGCCAATTTCCTTTCAACCTTAACTAATAACTTTTCCTCCTTAAATTCTGTCTGAGCTAGTTGGCAAAGCATAAAAACACTTTCTGTTTATTTGCGCTTGGTATAGCTGGAACAACTCCCCTCCTGTGAAGATTTTCGCTCTCATTGTTTTGCCTGTAAGTTTCTACCCAACAGGATCCCTTTCTTAGTTGGCTACCTGGGAAATGCGAGGGGCAGTAAACTTTGTTAGTAGTAGCTGCATTTTTTTACTTGGTACAGTATATCTTACATGATGAACTTTAGCTGTGAGTGGCATGAAAGTTTATTTGGAGTTGAGGCTGGACCGAGGGACAGGGCCTTAGCTTTCCCAGAACGGACCCCCAGGCTGACAGCGGTGGTAACAGGGATGTGCAGTGGGGATGATTAGTACTTGGGAGCCGGAAAGATGAGGATTTGAATCAGGCTGTAAAATGAGTAAGGACTGTAATGGAGGCTGCAGGGCACCTCCCAGGTCCCCCTTCCCAGCCAAGGCATTCATTCTCCCAGCTGCTGAGGGGATTGGCTGCTGAGGCCTCACAGCTGAGTTTCCTCCTAGCACTGCCGTGACTGAGGGACCAAAGTTACACCTCTCCCAGAATGGCCTGATGCAAGGGTTCCAAGCCCAGTGCTCACGTCTCAGTTCAGGGCGGTTCTGAAGCTATCCCAGCTCCAGAGCTTCAGAGGGATCTGCAGGAGCCTTTCCTGGGACTGCCTCACTGTTCAACCTCAGCATCTGCCCCACCCTGCTTCCTCGCTCCCTAACAAAGTGTTGCTTCAGAGAGCACTCCCCGGTCAACTTCCTACGAGCAAATGTCCATCTCAGCATCTGAGACAGATATTTCCTTGTAGGACTTTTTCCATTAGGATGAAAGCCAGCCAATGTGTGTCTTGAGCAGGTTGCTCATAAAGTTATTATAATGTTTTTAAAGCTGTGACCGGGATGGTTCAGTCCCAGAACTGAGCCATAATTAAGTAGGATACAGTCTACTCAACCAGAATAAATTTAAAAAAGAACTCAGGTCCTTTACTGATTCTATTGGGAGTGAGACTTCTGGTTGCGAGTTACAGAAAACCCAAGTAAGCTTGGGAAGGAAAAGTTTATTTGTGTATTCATAGGGTCAGTGGGGAAGGTTCATGAACTCTGAAGTCCAGGGGTAAACTTTCATGCGTGTCTGGATGCCTGGGCTCAGGGGGGGTCATAGGACCTGCTCTCTCCTTCTTCCTTTATACTGCCTCCAATCTCAGTGGGTTTTAACCACCTGCTGGCACAATGGCTTCCATTACCTGCATTGTTTACTCCAACATTCCAGCCCATGGCTCATGTTCACAGTGGAAGAGAGAATGCCTCTTTTCCAGGGGCTCCCATGGAACAGTTATGTTGTAGAGTGGTTGAGAGCGTGGCGTCTCACCCCACATTGCCCAGGTGCAAATTCCAGTTCTGTCCCTTAGCCGCAATATGACTGTGGATGGGTTACTTATCAGACTATAGCCCCCGTATCTCTACAGTGGTTGATGACAGCGCTACCCTTCCCATCGGATTACAAATATGAAACGTGTTAATACTTGTAAAGTGTTCAGAACAGTGCTAAGCACATTGTAAATACCCCATAAGAGGTTTTTTTTTTTTTAATTAAAAAAATACCTATCTGATTTACTTGGGTCACAGTCTCATCTCTGAATTGATCACTGTGGGCTAGAAGAAAATGATGTTCAGGTTGCTCGCCCCTGGAGGGAAGGGTAGAGTTAATTCCATTGAAATATAGGGTCTGAGGTGGGAGGTTCTCCAAAAGCATTCAGGCTTCTGTTACCAGACAAAGAGGAAAAGATACTGGGCAGGCAAAATAACAATTGTCCCCTCTATATGTATTTTGTAAAATAGTACACACAGCCACACAATTGCTTAGCAATCGTTTTTAAATCCTTAAAAAAAATTAAGATACTTTTATAATGAAGTGATCTGATAGACACCAAATATTATCCAAGTGAAAAAAAATTAGTAACACCTAAAATGAAACAAACTGATCTGCTATGCTTTCTAATTTGACCTAATGGGAAGATACTCTCCTTTATTAGCTTCTGAAAGTACTTTTTAGGACTAGTTGGAATTCATGCTTGTATGTGAGATGAGTCTTTAAATTTGTTTTTTTCCAGTAATACCAGGTTTCCCCAGGGCCATTTTTAAAAAGTCCATCCTTTCCCTGCTATCCTGTTCTATCACTTTAGTTATATTTCAGCTGACTTAATTGTGAGTTTATTTCTGGCTTTCTGTTATTCCTTCGGTCTATTTTTCTATTTCTGTGCCAGTACCATACTGTTCTCATTACTATACAGGGTTAAGTGCAAAGGTTTAACAGATCCTAAAAATGCCTATAAAGACAGTAGGAGATTCGAGAAGCCAAATAAACCCTAAGATAGATAAATAAATATCAATAATAAATAATAATACAAATAATAAAATAAGATAAATAAATGAAGCAAGGAAAAGCAACAATAACAAATTCACACCAGGCAAGTCAACAGAACTACAGAAAACCAGAAACAAATAGAAAGTCCTAAAAGAAGCTAGAGAAAAAAGACAGATTTCCTTAATGAGTGACACTTGACTTCTTACTAGAAACAACGGAAGCCAGAAAACAGTGAAATGACATGTAAAATGTCCTGAAGGAAAACAACTACCAACCTAGAATTCTGTACCCCTTGAAAATATCTTTTAAGAATGATGGTGAAATAAAGACATTTTTGGACAAACAAAAACAGTAGTTTGCTCCTAGCAGATAGGTGCTAAAAAAATTCTAAAGAATATACTTGATAACAAAAGGAAAGTTTATCCTGAATGGAGAGTCTGAGATGCAAGCAGTAAAGAGCAAAGATGTAAATGTGGCTCTAATGATTATAATGGTACTTTGTGCTGGTTTTTGTTGTTGTTTTCCTATTGCTATATAATGACAGCCGTTCCATTGTCTCTCATGATTCTTTGTGGTGACTGGGCTCAGTGAGGCAGGTCTTCTGCCGGTTTCCCTTGGAACAACTCCTGTGGTTTCCGTTAGATGTCGGCGAAGGCCAGGGTCATCTGGAGGCTCAGCAGGGACACCATCATATCTGGGCCTTGCTCACTCTCTATGTGCTGTCAAGTCCTCTTCTTCCCCTTGTAGTTTCTCAGACGGTAGCTCAGGACTCCTAAAAGTGCAGCAGTGGAAGCTGCCAGGCCATCTTAATGTTTGCTTCAGAATGTCACTTTTTTTTAAATTTTATTTTATTATGTTATGTTAATCACCATACATTACATCATTAGTTTTTGATGTAGTGTTCCATGACTCATTGTTTGCATATAACACCCAGTGCTCCATGCAGAACGCGCCCTCTTTAATACCCATCACCAGACTAACCCATCCCCCACCCCCCTCCCCTCTAGAACCCTCAGTTTGTTTCTCAGAGTCCATCGTCTCTCATGGTCCATCTCCCCCTCCCCCACCCTTCATTTTTCCCTTCCTACCATCACTTCTGACTCCTGTATTGGTTTTTCCAGAGAAGCAGAACCAATCAGATGTGTAATATATATTATACGTTATATATGTAACATAGCTGTATCTATTACACACGTGTATATACATATGTAGTATATATTATATATGACATATACACATATGTGTGTAATATTAGGCACCTGAGTCTCTCAGTCAGTTAAGCGTCCAACTCTTGATTTCAGCTCAGGTCATGATCTCAGGGTTGTGGGATCAAGCCCAGCACTGGGCTCCAGGCTCAGTGGGCAGTCTGCTTCTCTCCCTCTCCTTCTGCCTCTGCACTTTCTCTCTCTTTCAAACAAAAAAATAGTAATAATAAAATAGTAATAGTAGAATGCAGTATAATATATAGACCCACATATATAAATTTATTATATGGAATTGGCTTATGTGATTATAATAAAGTGATTGAATTAGTAATAATAATAATAACAACAACAACACACTTCCAACAAATGAAAGCCCAGGCCTGGATGGCTTCACTGGTGAATTCTACCAAACATTTAAATAAGAATGAATGCCAGTTCTTCACAAACTCTTCCAAATTCCAGGAGAGCCCTGTGGGACTACATCAGAGAGAATACCAAGTGTTCGTTGGGGATCATCTTTGGAGACCGGCTACCAAAATCCACCTTGTGCAAAATCTGATGATAGATCAAAAGAGCAGACAATTTTTGGCATGTAGCTGACTGCTTCCTGAAACTCCTTTGGCTGGAGCTCTTCCGTGTTCAGGCTTTGAATCTTAGTAAGTACAAAGCCCCTTGAAGGAGTAACACACTAAGTTTATAGCAATCATTTACATCTTAGTATAAACCAAGGACTTGGGAGATGTGATATTTAATGTTGTGATACAAGGAGATATTTCAAAGCCTTAGGACTCAACGTGGGAAGAAAAGAAGTTGACTGGAGGATGGGTGGGACACGGCCGGATGGCAAGGTTGGAGTCAGAAAGTTCCCTCGCTTGTTACGTTTGCTTAGTACCAGGCCTGTTTAAGTCCTTCCTAGACAGTGATAGCAGTATCTCCCTTCAAGGGCAGGGCGGGGGGGGGGGTGGTGAAGGGGGGGGGGTGGGGTGGTTAGTAAGAATCTCGGTCCAAAGCCATGAATCTATAATGGCACAATTTTGGACACAGACCAGCAGGAAAGGAATGGGCTTGGGGGCATCAGAAACTTCCCAGAGTCCCTAAAATCACAAATTAGTTCTGCAGTGTGGTCTGTTGACAGCCTCCTAACTCGAACTACATTTACTACAGAACAAAGATTCTATCCTTTTCCCTAAAAAGTATGCTTCTCTTAGAGATTGGAGCACATAATAGTCTTTGGAAGCTACTTTATAAATATTGACATCATAGTTATTTTGACCTCAGTAACCCAAAGCTACCAGCAGTGGCCGAGGAACCAAAGGGTTCAATGAGATTAGCCAGTCCCAGAGTTCTTTTCTTGGATTTCAGCAGGCCAGCGATTCCTCAAGTGTGTCGGGAATGGAAACCAAAAACAAGAGACGTGACTTTCTTCTTATGCGGTGGTCTCCCATCTGAGGCTTGCATTTCAGGTCTTACCTGTACCTCGAACAGCCTTTGGCATGTTTCAGTGAATAACGCTTTTAAGTGGCTTGCTTAACTCCATTTCTCTGCACACATTCAGTGAGCTAATTCTATTAGCAAAGGTTGTTGATGGTCTGAGAAAAAATTGAAGGAGTTCATTTTTGGCAAAGATTCCTAATTTGTAATGTTGGTGGTTACCGCACCCAAGGCTTCCAACTTAATTGGAAACAGTGGAATGCAATTTAGCGGTGGCTGTTCCTCTGGCTGTTAATTTAGCTGATTTGAAGTCCATTAAGGTTTTAATGGAAACAATTCCTTGCTAATTAACCAGAACTTCCATTGCTAGTAGCTGGTTACAGGTAGGATGCACGCAGTGCTTCGCTCACCCTCGCTTCTTAAAGAACCCTCTGCAAGGGCGCCTGGCCCCAGCTCTGGATACGTTTGGCATCTAGAAACAGATCTTTGAAACTGCTGGTGTTTATAATCAAAACCAGAGTCTATTCAGTGACCAAACACTAAAACTGCTTGAGTTTTGTTTTTCTAGCTGAATTTCCAATGACAAAATATTGAAGGCGTTTTGTTTATTGGCTTTTCCCAGGAGATCTACTGCTAAGATAAGACTAAAGCTTTATAACATTGTTTAAAAAGAGAAGTTAGCATTTTAAGAATCTACTTTAAAAAAAAAAGAGGTAAAGCAAATACTTTCCACTTCATTATTTTATTAAGACTTTGGTGATTTTGGAAAATCTGATATTTTGGTCTGCTAACCCTTGTGGACTAACTGTGGTCTTCTAAGTTTTCCACAGGAGTGTTCAAGCTGATCGGGCAGCCCCATGTTCCAAAATATTTACAAGGCATGGGTAATGATCCATCTCACTTAGTCCTCCCCAGAGTTAGGAACTGGGCTCAGCCTAGTTCTGAGAGAACAGACCCGAGCCCCAGCTGTCCCAGGCCTAGAAGCTTCCTTTCTCTTTGCAGAGGTAACTGTGTCACAGAGCTCCAAAACAAAAGTTTCCTCTGCAGGGTCATGGTAAAATGTTGTTGATTTTACATTGCAAAGGCAAATTTGCAACTCTATGATGGCTTTTCCCCCACCTCCTCCTCCCCCCACTTCTCCTTGCAGCTGAATCTGGTAGGTGCTCCTCCTTCATCTGTAAGAACACACTCCACTGCTTGTGAATTGCCTGAGTTTTCAGTGGCAGCTTAGATGTTGGCTGAGCTTTAATCAGTCTGGGAAGAGGAGCGTTCAGTCAGCACATTCACTTCTGAGGTGAGATGGGAACACAGCAACAAAGGGATCCCACCAGCCACGCAGGAAAACCAGCCTCAGTGCCTCCCAGCCCCGACGCGTGGTCTCCTTGAGGTTGGAACTTCTCTTCTTAATTCCTGCTTTCATTGGGCCGTTAGTTAGTCTCAAATCACATGCTTATCTCTTCTCAAAAGTCAATGTTTAGCTTACGTAGAGTGGAGACCTAAGGATTAACATGTCACTCTACTGAGGAAAAGGAATGTGTTCTCATATGCTTGTTATTCAATTACCATGCATTGGATGTCTCTTCAGGGATCAGATGGTTTAGATTTTCCAAGATAGGTCCCTGGAAAGAAATTTTGATGTTTTCGATAAAGGCCAATTATTAACTATATATTAAATATGGTCATAGTATTTGAAGTTCTTATAAATATATAAATAAGGAAAACCAGGGGGTATTAATTGTGTGTTTCATGTTTGAGGTTTGACTATTTGATCACCTTAGCTGTGTGTTCACATATTTGTTAGGAGCAAAGATGATTAAGGCATGATTCTGCTTTAAATGTGTTCACACGTTAGCAGGGGACAGAAAGAGTGTATACCACTAGCATTAATAGAAGGTAGAGAGAGACAAGTGTGCCGAGGAAGAAAATACCGATGGGGGCGTTCAGAGAAGGAGATTATGTTGAGCTGGAAAGGCGATCCAGAGGAAGTATTCTAGCCAGGGTTGAAGGACACCAAACCTTTGGAATAGTGGAGATAAATTGCAGAGTGTTGAAGGCCTGCAAAACATAGGAGCAAAAATCTGCAAAGGGTAATGGAGTGAAGGGCGTGGAAGGGAGTGTACAATGAGATGAAGAGAGAATGATAAATCGATCCATGAATCTTACACCAGAGAGATTGGACATCACTTAGGAGGTGGTGGGGTGAATCTGAATATTCAGGTAGGGAAGCATGATCAGAAGAGCTAATGTGTCGTCATGAGTAGGCTGGGGGTGGGCCCGGGGGGGTATGAGGGAGAACAAGAGGAATGCAAGGAACTTGGAAGGAAGCAGTCAGGACCCTGTGCGGGAGGTGGAGGATTGTCCATGGAAATTTGTGGCCACGTGGGGAGAGTTCTGGTGTCTGACAGTGTGTGTGGCAAGAGTCCAGCCAAACACTCTGGCCAGGAAAAAGAGGGCTCTGGGTGAGTTAGAGCCTCACTCCTCAAACTTTAATATGTACACAAACCACTTGGGGATCCTGTAAAAATGTAGGTTCTGAATCTACAGGTCTGGGTGGGACCTGAGATTCTTTGCTTCTAACAAGTTCCCAGGTGAGGCTCAGACTCTTGGTCCAAGGCCCACGTTTTGAGTAGCAAAGAGCTAGAGTAACTCACATTTGCTAGTTTTAGGAAATAATTTACAAGTACTCAAAATCTGTGAGAACCCAACTGTTTTGAAGTATGTTTATTTCTTTAAATCTCATTCTAAATGTGGCAAGAAACTGGCATGTGGTTAGAATGTGTGTGGTTTTTAGGTTCTCGCATGACCTGTCCAGACTGATGCCTTCTTCCCAGGAGGGTGTGTGAACAGCTGTTCACCGTAGACGTCACCAAGGAGAGTCTGCTCAGGTGTGAGCAACCCTTTGAGATAATTCAATGGCTGCCAGTTTCAACTAGTAGATCTCATTATTACGGAAACCTCCCTTCTGTGTTTGGGATATAAAGGAGTAGAGGTCAAGGAAGGAAAGAGAATTGTCCAGAGGCAGCAGGTCCCCAAGCCCAAGCTGACCCAGTGTTCTGGAGTGAGTCCACAGCCTGGGAGGGAATGGGGTTAACGTCAAGGCAGTGTTGGTGGGTCACTGACCAAAATGGTGGCGGGAATATAGGTAATGCCGCATCTGAGGTTGGCGCATGCAAGTTGATGGCCCCCCTGTCTCTGGAACTGCTCTTCATGTCTCAGGGGTGCTGCCAGCTCATTCCCTGTTACTGCACGAGGCCTTTCATTTATGGGGAGACCGGCTTCAGCTTTGTGCCAGCCCTCTGGCAGCAGAGACCCCCAGCCCTTGAAGAATTGTCTTTGAGCTTCTCCTCATGGAGCTGAAAAGGAGGAGCCTAAGCCAAATCCACTTACAAATATAGGGGAACTATTTATCTCCCTTCATTATCTTAGGCCACCGAGAAGTCCTATTTCTCTTAATAATCAAAGTGGTAGGATTCTCAACCACCATCTACTAACTTGAGCCATCTTTACATCCTTATTTCCTCTCCTGGGACAGCCTCCTAGTATCACCTCTGAAGCCAGAGCTCCAACCAGACCCAGGGAGCCTGGAGAAGGCCTGCGCACTGCTCTGCACAGGGGGGCTTGAGGTCCCCCTGCACTGCCCATGCCCAGTGTTGTCTGTGGCCAGAGTATCATCCTGGGTTTCAGCCCCTGCAGGAGCTTGTGGATCAGTCTCACTGTCACGTGGGATTTTTACAGAAGCCCATGGCTTTCCATGGCGTGGCTCTGAGGCCCTCTTGGACAGGAGCAGCTTCTCAGGCTTGGAAGGGAAGGGACAGCAGGTGGCTCCCCCTCCGGGCCTGGGTCTCAGTCCCCATTTGGTCGGCACCCTCGCAGGTCGTTAATGCACTGCTCAGAGGCCTTACTTATATGAGTCCCCATCATAGGTCATCCCTGGACAATCAAGGTCCTGGCACAGAAGTGGGGTCAGAGGTCACTCAGCCGGTACCCCCTCCCCTCATAGTGAGTTCCTTCTGGTTGGGGGGGGGTTCCTTGGCATCATGTTCACCCATTGATCTCACCCATTGATCAGAAGTTGGGTCCAAGCAATCACCCATTACTCTCATAATTGGAGGTACACACACAGGGCTTCTGGAGTTGAACAGCAAGGGCTGAATCCCAGCTCTACCAAATAGTTCATGGCCTACTGATCAGGGGCATGCACCTTGGGGCCAGCCCAACTGGGACCCATATTCCAGATCCTCCTCTTCCTTGGGCAGGCCCAGGATCACTCAAAGTCTAGGTTTCCTCAGCCACAAAGCAGAGATGCTGATGCCCCCTCCCCGGGGCTGCGGTAAGAATGGAGTGATGCAACACCGGGGTGGGGTGGGGGTGGTGGGAAACACCTTGCGCTGTGTGTGGCACATGGGAAGCACCCAATAAATATTAGCTATTGCTATTAAATGATGCTTATTTAATAAGTAAGGACTTGTGGGTTTTATTAGAAGCAAAGCAGGTACGTCTGCTTCTTAGTCCCTCATCCCTCTGGGAAGCCGCACCACGAGCTCGTAAATGCTGAGTGCGGCGTCCACCTGGTGGCCGCATCCCCAAATCTCTCATCAAAAACCTTGGAGGAAATGAAAAGGCTTGTAATTTATAAACCGAGGCTTCTCAAGGGGCAAGGGGAGGGTCGGAACCCTCGCTCTGGGGCTTTGTGGGGTCTGCACAGGCCGCCTGGAAACAAAGCAGCCCTTTGTCCTGTGGCTTGGCTTTGCTTTTGGTCATAATATTTAATTAATTTTGAAATTTCAAATAACATGAAAGGGAAGTGTGAGATATTTACATCTCTTAAAGAAGGGGGCATGGGTTTAAAAGGTTGAGAAGCCATCTATAACCTATAAAGCACAGCAAAGCTCCCAGGAATGTTCCAGTGACAGGAAGGCGTGGTGCTCTGCCCCTTCTGCCTGCCCTGCCAAGTGCCCACCCATCCCCAAGGTGGCGACGGGCAGGTGGAGCACGCAGCCCTCCCCGGTGGCCTCATTGGAAAAAGCTGGCACATGCACAGGGCGCTTCTGTGTTCTGGACCCTTCCTTTGGCTTTCTAATGCTAATGAGTGAAACTTGAACAAATGTTCATTAAGACCATTTGACACACAATGCCCCTTCGTCCTTGGGTTTTCACTGTTATTGCAGCTCTCCATCAGGATGTGGGACATAGATTCTTTATTCAATCAGCGGTCCATTTGCCACTCTGGTGAAATAAAACTCTTTTGTGGATCTTTTGTCCTAGTTTGCATTTTTTGTTTTACACAAAAGACTTAATAAAAATTTAAAAGTTAATAAAAGTGAAAAATATTCTTGCAGAAAAGTGCACAAGCGTCTGGCTTAATGAACTGTTACAAAGTGTGACCAATCACGAAACAGAATGTTACCACCCTTCCCTGCCCCTCCCCCTACCTTTGTTCACTAACTCCCCCAGAACGGTGAACACAACCCTGGCTCATAACAGCACATAATTATTTTGCTTGTTTTTGAACTTTATGTAAATGGAACCATATAGAATATGCTCTTGGGGTCTGCCTTTGTCCAAGATTATGGTAAGAAGACCCATCGTCCACTTTGTGGAGTATTGTTGTAGATCATTCATTCTCATGCTGTGTAGTGTCATTGTGTGGTCCTTCATGATTGGAGCCATCCCCAGTGGAGGTGGGCATGTGTCCCCTAAATGGGCTGGTCCCTGAGACCAGTGGAGGCAGGCATGTGACTGAGGTGGGCCAATTGGGATTTCCCAAACTGGAAGCAGATAGTATCTCTCTTCCTCATGGGAACTAGTCCATCAGAGCAGATTCAGAAGTCAGGCCCTCTGTGCTTGGTCCTGGCTGTGTCACTGACTAGCTGTGGTATCTGGTGTAAGTTATTTAATGTCTTTATTTCAGTCCTAGTTTCTTCATCTTTAAAAGGAGATAATAATAATAGCATCATCAAAAAAAATGTAAAGGTAACCTACTGAATGGGAGAAAATATTTGCAAGTTGTATGTCTGATAAGGGACTAGTATTCAAAGTATATGAAGAACTTACAACTCAGTAGCAGAAAAAGAAACACTTTAATTAGAACATGGGCAGAAGATCTGAACAGACATTTTTCCAAAAAAGACATGCAGATGGCTAACAGACACATGAAAAGATGCTCAACATCACTCATCATCAGGGAAATGCAAATCACAACCACAATGAGATCTCACCTACCACCTGTTTGAATGGCTAGTATC